AAAAAGTGATCCCCTTCTCTTTTTCCTATAAGCTCTACACCTGAATTGGACTTTAGTTTCTGTGCCTGTCATTGGTGATTAGTTATGACAATTTAAATGCAGGACTTCAGTCCATCCTGAAAGGTTTGCCAACTTTAGAAAGTGGCTAATCTCAGATAAAATTTAATAACACCATTAGAATTTAACTACTTTAAAAATATAAGCATAATTCATTTAGTCATTGTTTTCTTCCTAATTTTTAATAATGTAAAATTCGGCTCAGGTATTTTTGTATGATGCTGTTCTCTTAAGAATAGTATAATACTACAGGGCTGGGGTTGTAGCTCAGTGGTAGAGTGCTCACCTAGCATATGTGAGGCCCTGGGTTGGATCCTCAGCATCACATAAAAATAAATATAAATAAAGGTATTGTGTCCAACTATAAGTAAAAAATAAGTGTTTTTTAAAAAAGAATAGTATAATCTTAACATTTCCTCTTCTAGCAAAAATTCTAAACAGTAAATTTAAAAAGTAAATTGTAAGTACATGGCTATTACTTTTATTTTTTATTAATGCATTATTGCATTATAATTATACATGATATAAGGGTTGATTTTTACATAATTTTACAAGCATAGATTATAATTTGTTTCAATTCAGTCCCTAGTATTTCCCCATTCTCCCCTTCCCCTCCCATTTCCTTTCCTCTACTCTACAGAAGGTCTTTCTTCCTATTTATTTATAGATTTTTTTTAAATATAGAAAATACATATAAGAAATACAATACAAATTATACAAAATCTAAACAGTGAAGAATATCTTAATATTACAATTAACTTTTTTATCTATATTTTAATATCTTAATATTACAATTAACTTTTTTATCTATATTTGTTCTTCACATCTAAGTTCATTTTGTACTTTTTCTGTACAAAATGAACTTTTTTTCTGTACTTTTTTGTACTTTTTCCCTTAGCAGAGAATGGTTTCTGGAACCAAAATCTGTGTGCTACAAGTAGTCATTGATATTGGGGTATTGCTGCTTCTAAGCCCAATTGGTAGAAGAGTTAGGGAACATACCCATATACAGATTAATATCTGTATTTTCAAATGTTTATACATGGAAGATCATGAGTTCTTTCTAATAACTCAAGTTCTAATTCAAGACCATTCTAATTTTTCTTTTTTCATATTTTCACTTCTCAATAACTAACATTAAAAAATGTGACTCCCAATATTTGACTGGTTCTGATGTAGGCCAACACTACTCTGTTAATGCACTTTTGCCCTCCCCCTCTCTAAATACCCTCCTTACTCTTGGCCTCCAACAGTCTATGCCTGGCTGCAGCTGCCAGCTCCCAGAATGAATATCCTCCTCATTTTTTCAGGCTTCAACTTACTGTGCCAGGTCTCCCCTAGTCCCCCTATCAGGGAACATCTGCTTTGCTGGGCCCCAATAACAGGATTTTGACTGAACTGTTCAGGAAAGGAAATGAAAAAAACAGTTTCTATCCTTTGATTTTTAAGTTGATGTTACCTATTTTCTCACTACCAGGATTTTTAAAGATTACTACTCTTCTATTGGATGTTCAGGTATCTCACATGTTCTTGTTGTGGTTGTTCTTATAAATAGTGATTTACTGCAGGCAACCTCCACATTTTATATTATAATTTATGGGAATTTTGCTTGCCAAATTGAGTGCTGTTCAAACTGATACTAACTAGCTTGCTGGGCATGGTGGTGCACACCTGTAGTTCCAGTTACTCAAAATGCTAAGGAGACTGGATTTCTTGAATCCAGAATTTTGAGGTCAGCCTGGTAGCATAATTGATATCTCAAAAAAATATACAAACAATGACAACAACAGGAAACAAAAACCCCAACACTAGTTTACTCATTTATTATTATTGCTGGTTTAGTTTCTACCTAATTATATTATAGAAATAATGGCTTAATAAATGAGGCTGCTGGGACTAAAATGAGTTTTCAGATAATTTTGGCATCATTTGAAAAACTCCTACTGTTTTCTTATAATAAACATTTTGAATAAAGCTAATTTAAAAATATATTGCATGTAATCTATTCCTAGTTATTTAAAAATAAGAATATGAGTTTTTAAAAAGTCTGATATCCTTTGCATGTCATAGAAAGCACTCCACTGGACTCCCAAACTACCTCTTTTGCCACTTTTCATTTTGATTAATTTATCACATGATTTATCCTTCCTCAAGTTGCCACCTTGTTTTTTTTTCTGCAATAATGCTGTGTTCCTCAAGGCATAGGTACCAAACAATGAGGTGAAAAAAAGTGTATTTGATATTTCATGAGCATTATATTTCTAATCACCAAAGAAATCAAATCTCTATTTGACTTCCTTATAACTAATTCACAGTTTAGAACTGTTTATATTTTGACATACACATGAGGGAGACACCATAACCTTTTTCTGTAATTAGGCCTCTGAAGTTTCAATAAGATCCTCCTCTGTACCTTTGCTCTTTCTGAAAATTAGTGCTGTGCAGCTTGCCTCCAATCAAAATCACATGATTTTCTGTCCCATAGTATTTGACTGCACATCTACTAAAACACTTAGAACGTACTTGTGTAATATTTTTAATAGTCTCTCCTGACTAGATCATGAAATCTATGAGAAAAATTAAGTGTTATTATCTAGCCATTCATTTCCTGCAGGTAGCCTAGTGATTTATCTCATGTAGAAACTCATTAAATGTTGTCAAACTGAATAACTTATTGTCTTGTTTATAAATGCAGCTGGTGGCCCTTATAGCAGAGACTTAATTATTTCTCTTAAACTGCTGGACACTTAATTCATTAGTATCTGCTAGGATAAAATTTGACATGTCCAAGTATTCAGTTTGCCAATACCTCAAACTATTCAGAAAATAGTCAGTGTAGAAATAA